ACAAAGTCCTCTGTCTTCAGCCCAATGGAAAACTACCTGGAATTTAAATGTCCCACCAAAGTTAAAACATTTTGTTTGGAAAAGCTGTCTAAATAGTATATTGGTTAAGGAGGTAATGGCCAAAAGAGGAATGGGAGAAGAGGTTTCTTGCTCAGTGTGTGGAGGTGCTGAAGAGAGTATTATGTATGCTCTGTTTCAGTGTGACCATGCTTGAGCGGTTTGGCTTGGAAGTAGATTAAATTTAACAGTTTCTTCTAAATTTTGACTATTGGTGGTCCTGGTGGTTAAACTAGAATCCCTCAGCTGGGAAGCAAGGGTTACAAATTATAGCTTATTCTGTGTGTGTGTGTTGTGAGCTATTTGGAAGACAAGGAATAATATGATTTTCAATGATATAAGACCTAATTCTTCACTAATTATTCTTTGTGCGAACAAGATGATGGAGGAAGTAAAGAGAGCTTCCCTTCAAGAAAAATTCATCAATACCAATATACCTCTTAATGTAATTAATATACTTTAAGATGTCAGACTTCAGAGCAAACAACCAGGCCCTAAAGCTACTCCAACCTCTAGTTTTTTTTGGATATTATGCCGTGCTGTAAAGTGTATACTGATGGCAGTTTTTTGGTTCGGGATCAGGAGGTTTTGGTTTCCTATTGAGCTCTGGCTCGGATGTTTTATTGAATGCTGGTTGTGTCACTGTAAAGCTGGGTCAGCTGAGTATGCTAAACTCTTTGCTATAAAAGAATGCTGCTTGACAGCAACTGGCCTGGGTTTTGTGGATATTTGGATGTTTTCTGATTCAAGAAACGTTGTTAAGACTTTATCTGCTAGATCTTTTGATTGTGCTCCGTTAGTTTGGCCCCTTTTGCATGATATCTTCAACCTGATAGGCCATGGATCGAAATTTTTTCATGTTGATTGCAGTAAAGTGAAGGTAGCCCATGTTTTAGCGGCTAAAGGTAAATCCGGTTTGCAAGCAAGTTGGGACTCTCTTCCTAGTGGGCTACAAAGTTTCTGGAATGATTGTCTGGAAGTGTAGTAGCTTCTCTTAGCTTGTTTTTTCTTTTCTTTCTGTATTTGGTTTTCTTGTGTTAGTATACTTGTTTTCCTATCCACTCCCCCCCCCCCCCGAAAAAAAAAAAAAAGCGGACCCTCGTTAACTTTTTGGTTGGATTTTAGATGAATAATATATCGCATAGGTGCATATATTGTGTAGAAAATTTTGACTAGTCTCCATTCTCCATTGTCCCTCGTCTCTTGCCCCTATAAGAAAAAAATCCTGGCTCCACCACCGTTTTCACAATTCATTTTCATGCATCATACATTTTACTTTACTACTAATATATTACTAAAATTGTTTTTTTGCAACATCAATGCAATTTTTATTTATATTATTAATAATTTATGACAATTTTATACATCAAATTTGAATCTAAATATTATTTGGGATCGTCACCCAAATGAAGACTCCTCACAACTACATTATAATAGAACAACATGTCAAAATAGATGGTCGATTTTAAGTTTCAAAATATTAATGAAAATATTGTTTTATTTAGTAATAATTAAATTCATATTGGAGTTATATATATATATATATGCATACTTTTTATTTTTAATGTCATTTCTTAATAATTTTTGAGCGAACCCCAACGTGTTACTTTCATGTATTTATATTTTACAAGTAAATCTATGATATGAAATGGGAAAGGTATGATACACAAAGAGTATTGACCATTCAAAGCCCTCTAATGAATTTTTGATGAAATACTAGCTAGCTGATTGATTATCATTTTTATAATACTGATTAGTTGGTTTTAAGTATAGTGGAAATCATTTTTTATTCATGATATTTTGATTCAATGGGTTTAAGGTTTTTTATTTTATTTTTTGAGTATCATAGGAATCGCCTTTATGAAGGAATGACAAAACAAAATTCATGTTGCTGACCCTGACCCCATATAGTTGGAGATAAGGCTTGGATGATGATAAAAAAATACCTTGTAGTAGCTTTCACACTAAAAAAGAGCTCAGTTAGTGTATTTGTCTATCCACTCATGTCATTGGATTGGGAGCAAAGTCACAAATCACTCTGATCAGTTAATTAAATAGAGAGTGTGAATTGTGAAAGAGAAAGAAGCACTCTACCATATCTTGACAATCTGATCGATCTAGTGGTGAGGCACCATGTCTTAATTCTATCCACTAAGGGAGATAAAAGTAGTCCAAGAGCCCGGAGCCCAGATTTGCTGTGTGTAACCCACTACCCAATCAATCACAAGTGAACAAACTAGTGTTGTGTAAAATAACACCGACGTGTTCACTCATGATTGGTTACACAAAGTGGAGAGCCCCTTCATGATCCATCAACAACAGTGGTATCATCCTCCCTCACTAATAGTACAGTAATTGTGGACAGGAAATTCCACCATAAATGCCGGCGAGTGGAAAATGGAGCAACTTGCCACATTTGCAGGATTCAGTCAGCAGGGATTTTTAAATCACAAATTATATAATAAACTTCTTAAGCTTCATTCCCTTTTCTGGTGGAAGCTCTGCATCTGTGTTTTTCTTTCTCAATCCATTGATGATCGATGTGGCAGCAACAGGAGATCTATGTTGGTATAAGGAGAGACCATCATCACCCCTTTAGCCACCTGACAAAAAAAAAAAAATTTATTTATGCTTTGAAAGATTTTGTGTTTCTAAGGCTCAGTTTGGAAGGAATAGAAATACATATATATATATAGAATATAAAACCTTATATTTTGTATTATTTTGTACATATTTGTATTTGTACTTCTTCAAAGCTCAATTTGGAAGGAGTATGAATGCAAATATGCACAGTGCAAATATATATAAAATAGTACAAATTATACAAGGTTTTGAAATTTATATATTTATATTTATACTCCTTCCAAATTGAGTCTAAGGCTGTGCTTGGTTGCAATGCAAACACAAATATATACACTATATATTTATCCATTTTTCGGTTCATGAATGCAAACATAGTTCACATTTTAAACTGTTTTTGCATTCATCTTATTTGTTTGAAATCGGTGCAAAGTGTGAGCTCATCATTAAATGCTCCAACTATCTTATACTCCAATGCCTTAACTTTGGTCAAAAAGTTAAACACAAAATTGTATCCAAAAAATAAGTACAGTAGTGCTCTCTTTTCAGAGTACATAAGTGCCAAAAAATACATTTTTACTTTAATAATCATTACTTTTTTATGTATCAAATAAACGCTCGCAAACGCGAACTGGAGTATATAAATACCCCGCTTTGACATTTGTATCGCAAACAAACGGAGCCCAAGTAAAATTGGTCTCAAGAAAAAGAGTAAGCCCAAATCTTTCTTTTCTTTTCTGATTACAACTGCAATTTTGTGTTTGGTACCATTGCAGTTTATTCAAGGAAGTTTTAGGGTTAATCAATAGAAATTGATGAAAAAGATGAATTGTCAAGCGAGTCATCACTAGAACTGAAAAAATGCATGTGAGGAGTGATCATGCTGTTTAGAGTTTGAAATATCAAATTCGATATTTCAAATAACAATAGAAACTTGTATAGATCAACCCAAAACTTTTCTGATCATGTGACATGAAAAATCATATTTTAAAACCAATTTCTATCGATCAACCCTGCCCCAAATGTTTCATGAAAAAACTACCAACACTATAATAGACCACACCCACAACAAAGTAGAAACTAAAACCTTTTCAGTTTTGAGTTGTAAACTGTAAGCGCATGGACTGGGGATTAGGGTGGATCTACAAACTAGTGAGTGTATCTATCTTCCTTGATATAATGGAATGCCCACTAACTAAACCCATCCTCTGTAGTTTTAGATAATTTTATATTCTCTCTATCTTTTCAAGCTCTAGCGAAATTAAAATTATCAGCTATCAAATCTCATAATTTAAGTATTCAACTTGAAGAGAGTAGTGATCATGACCCGATGACAATTCAGTAAACAATGAAAGCGGTGCTGATGCCTTTATTTATCATTCCTTGTGGATGTCAGGATGACATGATCGTTCCAAACTGTTATGCTTCGGTGCCCTCCAGAGTTTGGTCATGTCTGCAATTCCCATTCCAAGCTATTGCAATTTTAAAATTCTTAATTGAGTGATGATTCAGCAGGGGTTGGTCATGCTGAGGAAACCAAGTATGCCTCAGTGCACTAATTAATGAGCATGTGTTTATAGCTTATTGGCTTGATTTTTTTTTAACAAAAAAAAAAAAAGATTTCTCCATTTCTGAGACAGTGACTGATGAACAAATAAGGGCTTACACAGTTTCGTTGCTGCTTGGTATGACCACTCCACTTGAATTAATCATCTTTATTTAATTTGATAAGGAGTAGTGAGCATGACAAGCCTCTTGCTCGTGCAGATGGGAACAAAATATAAACATAGAATTTTGTGCAAGTGCAAATACAGACTAAATTAAAGAAGAGGGATGTGGTTAATTTGCCCCAACCAGAGAGCAACTACAATGAAATTAAGTAGACCAATCAGGGAGATAAGAGGTGGAGCTCTTTTGGGCAGCCAACACTGAATTGCCACAATTAAGGAAAGCCCTAAACTAGTCTAGCAAGATGATCCCATCATTAAAACACGAGTTTTTACTTTACTTGCATTCATCATCATCTACCAAATCAATCATCACGGCTCTATTGTATTCAGGAAAGCAATAGACTAAGTGATGAATGATGAAATTTGAGCCCATGATTTGAAGGTGTATGTATTACCATAATGGGCCTTAGTGTCTGGCCGTTGGGGACCCATAACTTTAGTGGGGAACTATGGGCCAGTCCCATCATAAAAAGTAGAAAAATATCATAATGAATGGTTGATAAAAGGAGAGCTATCCAAGGTTTACATTTTTTAAATGTGTCCATTTCCCAATTTTAATAGGAGAAAAACCTTAAAATCCATCACCTTTGTCTATTGAACTCCAATATCTATCTTTTCTCTCTCTCTCTCTCTCTATGACCATAAATACACAACAAGATGGTTTCAGGACTTCTCAATCTCCATAAATCATCTTTCTTAGTGTTTTCTATTTCCATCTCTTCAAATATCAGAAAGCTTGGAGATAAATGGACGTCCCCAACACTACAACTACAAGCCCTCCTCATCCCTATCCTCAAGCAATTCAGCTTAAGTTGTATCAAGCCTTCATATTTTCAATTCCAATTCTCTTCTCTATAATTCTTTTGTTATTGTTCTACCTATTTTACCTCAAGAGGAGGGCCTCCAATCTCCCTTCCTCTCCTCCAACACTTACAGGGAGATTGAATCAAGCCACCAATTACAGTTACCCGGTAACTCTCTCTCTCTCTCTCTCTCTCTCTCTTGCAGAAGATAAACAAAACTTAGAAATCAAACATTTTCTTTGGAGCCTGAAATTAAAAATTAAACATATTATAGTAACAAGTTAGTCATGGATGTCTGGTTTCGTTTTTGTTGTCCTTAGCCTCCTGGAATGGATTTGAAAGAGGAAATGAGAAACAAGCTTCCCATAATTATATATGATGAGGAATTAAGGACCCGAAGTTCACAGTAAGTGCAGTTTCCTTTGCTTTTTTGCCTCTGCTAAATTTACGTTTTCTTATTTGACGTTCCTTTATTCTCTACTCCTTTTTCTGGTAGGGCTTTATAGTTTACAATCTTCTTACGAAACACTGTCTATATATCTACTTCTTTTCTTCCTTCTCACTTTTTTGGTCTCTCTGTGTCTGTGTGCGTGTTGGTGGTGGTGGGTGTCTTCTTTTGATGTTGATGTGGAATATTTTAGGAAGGACTGGATTAAAGGATCCCATGGTCAATACCCTTATTGAATTCTGAATCATGGATACGATCGAGGGGTGCAGATGTATATATATTTCAAAATTTCAAATTCCAAAGCTCTGGAGATTATTAATAAGAATAAGATTTCTCCATGATCCCCCAGTTCCAGGGGCCACCTCCAAGTTCAACACTGGCTAATTAAGCCAAAGTTGAGCATAGTGATCACATACTAATAATTTAAACCATTTAATTTCTCTTGGGTGATCTGCAAATTTATGAAGCAATATTAATCTGTATTCTGTAGTGTTGGTTGAATAAATTAAGTTTCTTGGTTAAATTAAAATACAGTACTAAAGCTAAGAGTAGGGTTTAATTAAGTGGATGAATATGGATTAAAGTGCAGATGTTGCGTGTGCCTGGGAGATTTTGAGATGAAGGAGCAATTGCACCAGATTCCTTCTTGCAAGCATGTGTTTCACGTCGATTGTATTAATCACTGGCTTCAAGCAAACACCACATGTCCGCTTTGCCGCTGCTCCATCCTTGTAATTATCAGCAGTAGCTAGGAATTACAAAAATCTGTTATCTAATTACCCCGATCGAGACTCTCGATCATGCGCCCACCTCAACAATCTATATGCATGTATATAATAATCAATGTAGTGAAGATCAATATTGAAGGCAAAGCCAAGGATCTCCACTACTACCACTAGCTAGCTAGTGACGACATGTTTAAGTTTAACAGAGCCCCTGCCTGTGCTATCTATGGCTATGGCTATGGTGAATTGGTGATTCACAAGACAAAATTCGTCTATTTTAATGGATCATTAATTAACCACATGATTCTTACTCAGTGGTTTGTGCAGATCCTTTATGACTTTAATTATCACCTAAATTATGCCCTTTTTGGTGAATTCAATTATATATACCTTCATGTAATGCCCTGCTTTTAGTTGTAAATTTTAAGGTGGTGGGGGGTGTGCTACCTCTTCAATATAAATTGTTTTCTTCGTTGAGATTTTAAGAAAATTAGGCAAACATATAGGTTCAACTATACTACTAGAAAGACATGTTAACCAATCAGGTGGAATTTTTCAAAATCCATGGGTGCGTTTTGATTTTCCAGCACCATATCTTTCCGGCATCATACATTTTACGGTCCCTCACCATGCCTCTCTTTGCTCCAAACCCATCTTCCTAATTTTTTTTATTTTTTTAATTCCACATAATTATCCAATAAAGAAAGAGGGATTTGCTTTTTTAATATTTAGCCACCTAAATTGTCTCTAGTTCCTATTTGTCTCCTAAATTATCTCAAACTCCTTTCTATTTATCTCTTAAATTATCTCTAATTTAATAGAGAGATTCCCTCCTAAACTATCTCTAATTATTATTTATGCTCCCCTCCCCTCACCCCCCACCACCCACTTTTTATCTACATCTATCTAAAGAAAGTTTCAATTAAAAATTTTCAGAATTATTTAAATCTTATAACGAAATTATATACTAACTTTAAAATATTTATTCAAAACACAAAAATTAAATTATAATAGATTTAATAATATTCTTATTATTAATAATTTTATATTTTTCTAAAATTCATCATGAAATTATGTAAGAAGAATATAAATTATAATTTTATGAATTATTAAATTTAAATGTTATTCAAATAATAAAATTTAGCATTAAAAAATAAAACATTACTTAAATATCTCAATAACTAAATATCTTAAATAACAAAACAATAAAAATATCTAAATAATTATATAAAAATATTTAATATTACACAATAACATTAATATAAATAAAATTCAAATAACGAAAATTTTTAAATATTTTACATATTACTTAAATATTTAGATAACAAAAATTTAACATGACTAAATTTTAAAATAACAAAATTATGTAATAAATTTTAAAAAATTCTTAAAACTAGAAAAATAATTATAATAGATTTCATAATATTCATATTAATAATAATTTAATATTTTATAAAATTAATGACGAATTATGTAATAATAGTACTAATTATAATTTTATAGATCATTAAATTAAATAAATAATTAATATTTAAAAACTCAAATGACAATATTATTTAAATAAATAAATAATATTGTAAATAACTAATTTCACTTATATCACTTAATAACTATAGAAATTAACTTTCAAAAAAAATAATATTTATTAGTAATAATTTTACAACAATAGTGTATATTCATTATATATATACTCAAATTAAAACTTATTTTTTCAGTAATTATTTATTGTATTTTTGATAAATATGTTTTCAATAATTATTTATAAATATAGTTCTACTTTTTGTTATTTAATAGTTAATTGTCAATAATTATTGGAGATTAAACAACTATTATTTAACTTTTGAAATTTAATTTATCGTATTAATTGTATTTTTGTTATAAATTTATTTTTAGTAGTTATGTATTTTTATATAATTTATTGATTAATATTGTTAGAGATTAAACTATTATTTGAGATTACACTATTTGATGACTAATTTAATATATTTTCAGTATTTATTGTATTTTTGTAATTATTGTATTTTTATTAGATATCTATTGTATTTTAATTATAAATTTATTTTCAATAATTATGTATTTTTTCTATAAATTTTCAATAATTATCGGAGATTAAACTATTTTTATTTATTAGAGATTAGACTATTAGTTTAGTTGAAATTAGGAGTGTTCAAGGATTGGTTCATTTCAGTTGCAGGTTGTTTTTCCAACCAAATAAGCCTAGTTAGGTCAGGAGTTGGTCTCCCGAAACCAATTGACCATTAGTGAAAACCTGCCAACTCGGGTTGCATTAGTTTGGGTGTATTTTCGGTTTGGTTTGTTTGTTCAAAAGAACTTAAAAATTAAATTTAAATTTAATAAATTATAGTGGTATTATTAAAAAATAAATTTGTGATATAAAATATTTTAGACTAAGAAATATGAGAATTTTCCCACTTTGTTGTATTAAAAAAATATATTTAAAGTATGAAATATTAATACACATCTATGGTTGGGTCGGTTTACAATTGCTGAAATTGAAACTGACTTAACTTGGTCGAGTTGGAAAATTGCTAAACCAAAGCTGATTGAAATACTAGAAAGCTGACCAACTCGGGTTAAGTTCGATCAAATGGATTATTAAAAAGTTAATGTATACACACACACACACACACGCACTAGTGGGAACCCGTACAATGCACGGGATGGGGCATCCCTCCTTGTTCCTAGCCCCCATAAGTCAAGACACTCTACTCCATCCTTATCCTGACCTAGTGGCGGGGTGGGTTTAAGGCGAGGCACCCATTCCCCGCTGGGGATGGGGAATCCCCAAAATTTTCCCACTTTGAGGCAACCAACTAAAAAATCTAATTTATGGATATTTAACAAATAAGGTAATGGGAATTTCAGGGTATTTTAAAAATTAATATGAAATCTACGAATATTTTACTTAATTACCATTGAGTTTGGGGAATTATATACAAACCCCATCCCTAATTTGGGGAAAAAATATTTTTCTTGTCCCTACCCTATCTCTGCCCCGTCCCCGTTTAAGATTTGAGAAAACTTGCCCCATTCGGGGCAGAGCAAGGTAGGGCCCCAGTTTTACAAGGAAAATTGTCATCCTTACAATTCTAATAATTTTCTATAACTAATTAGCTAACCGTAAATTAAATAACAATAAATTACATTTTTTATGATAATTTCCAAAAAAAATATTGAAATTGCTATTGATTAGTAGTAATGTATAGAAAATTAATTACTTACAATAACAATAAATTAATGTAAATTATTTACTCTTTAAACCTAAATTATTTACTATGAATCAAAGTAAATTAATGTAATTATGGTAAATTACATTATTTTTAATTAAAAGTAAACCATTTGTTGTTAATTAATGTAAAACTAGGTATGGTCGAAGTCAACCAAGTGGTCTAGATTGGTATGGATAGACTTAATAATTTTCCTATATTATTTATTGAAATAATAACAATGGATTGTTATTTAAATAATTATGAAACAATTTCTTATAGATTAATTTCCAAATTTTTAGACAATATAGTTGAATAATGATAATGGATTATTATTTAAATAGTTTTGGAGACGTTTTTTCATAGATTAATTTCTTAATTTTTTATACTCTTTTAAAAAATATTTATGGATTATTAGTTAAAGAGTTTCTCTAAATCATTTGATAATTGTTAACTATAATTATTGATTTTATAGAAATTAGTAAATTATGCTAATTAGTAATATCTTTTATCAATAAATAATTATTGTAAAAATTTAATGAAAATTTATTAAATTACAATGATTAATGTAAATTATGCTAAGCGTTGAAATTTGAACAATTATTAATAACCAAAATTATTAAATAATGGATTGTTTATTAATTTTTGTTAGATTATTAAATTATTTAATATTTATTAAGTAATGGATTATTTCTGAAATAATTATTTTATAATTTTTGTTAGAATATTTTCCAGAAATTTTTAATAATTTTCATAACTAATGGGTTATTTAATAATCGATTATTTAACAATAATGGAGGATGGCATGAATATATAGGAAACATTGAATCCCCCTTATTCCCCTCTCTGACCGGATCCAACACATACCGATCCGGGTCAACCCGAATCCGAAATAAACCTGGGCAGGATGGTTCGGTACCGCTTACCCTACCCGGTTTGGGTCGTCCAATCCAACCAGTATTCACACAACCCAACCCAATCTGATACAAGTTGATCTGGGTCGAGTTGTATCTGAAATGAACCTTGGGCGGGATGGTTCGGTACGGCTTGCTCTGCCCAGTTTGGGTCATCCAGTCCAACCAGCATTCGCACAGCCCCGACCCAACATGGTACAAGCTGGTCCGGGTAAACCCGAATCCGAAACGGTTTCGAGCGGGATGGTTCGATGTCTACGTGTCTGTATCGTCCGATAGGCCAATATCCACACAACCCGACCTGAATATGGACCAACCCGATTTACTTATGTTGACCCACTTTGGGTCAGTTGGTTCGGTCCCAAACCCGTGCACAAACCTGATGATCCGATCCAAGTCAATCCACCATTGACTGAACCAGTCTGGTCCGACTTGACCAATCTAGATCCAAACGGTTCAACCACCCTTGATGTGATTAGCTCGAAGAAAATCCAATTAGATAGTTCAAGTTGGTCTGACCGGTTTGAACCTAAGTGGTTCGGTCAAAACCGAAATCCGAGCATAGTCAAATGGTTTCGCCACTTGTGTAAAAATAACACGCATGTAATGTGATTTGAACCTTCACCACTTGTGTAAATAGTAACTACAATTACCATCAAGCTATGACCAACTTATTTGTTAAGAGAGAATTAGTTTGTTTTTTAAATCTATAAATATAAGATTAACGGGTTTGGGCAGATTGGATTGGGTTAAAGCAGGTTTGGGTTGAACCCAACCTATTTAATTTTATATAACCGTATCATTAATGGGTTGACGGGTTAGATGAATTGGATTAAAGCTCAACCCAAACCAAACCCAACACAATCTGCCCAATTGCCACCACTATATATATATAGATAGATAGATAGATAGATAGATATATATTATTTTTGAGAAAGATAATGTTCTTGATTGTGTAAGGGAAATTAGAAATGAATTCTTGAATTCTGGTTTCAAAAATATGATTTAATTTCCTATAGCTAGTGATACAATGTGATATTTTACAAATCAAATAGACATCTGATTGAATTGATGTTAATTTACCATTTTATTTAACTCCACCAATATCTAGCATGCCTTAATTACATTAATGCTGGTCCCAAGCCTCGGATGAAGGAGGATGAATATTGTTTC